GGGGGGCGGGACGGTGGCCTTCCTCAGCCGGGCCGCTAGACTGGTGAGGCACGGGGCTGAATTCGGCGTGACGGGGAGGGCGAGAAAGGCTTCTTCGCGCGGCGAAGTTCTGCCGGTTAGCACCAGAATGCTGCTTTTCAGATGAACCACGCAGAGCGCGTGATTTGTCGAAATAGAATCTATGTACAACATACTTCCGCGTCTGATTCGGCTGCTGGGGCGGCACAGAGTTGGGGTGGTACAGCTGTGCTGTTTGAAGCCAGTCTGCCTGCGGCAAAGAGCATGGCGTTTTTGCGGGCATGAGCGCGGGTCCCGTTTTCCGGTCCTTCATCCAGTTGAGCACACGCCCAAAGTTGTATGCATTGTTCCGCTCGTTGAACATTGCCCGTAGGCAGATAGAATTCGCTTGCCTGGGAAAAGGGATCTCCTGTAGTTGCGAATGCTTTTCGACGAAGGTCTCTCCGCGTGTCACTGGCCGTAGAGAATGGTGACTCGACGCGAGACTACCCTGTGGAGCCCCACTGGTCCTCTCTCTTTGTTCCACCCCCACCTCCTCTCAGGGAAGCGAGTCTTGTATCTGGGCTTGCTCATCACGGTAGCCGCTCCCTTCTTTTCGAGAGCCTCCGTTCTCCACTAGTCGGGTGTCGAAGTCAAACAACGTGCACCCCCCCCCCTCCTCGTCATGCCCCGACTCGATGTGTCCCCCACTGGGCTTTGGAGAGACAGATTGTCCTGTCATGAAATACGCCCGTGTATTGGACACTGGAGGCGAGCCACGATGAAGGGTACCACCGCGCGGTCAACGCTTACTGACGCCCAACCTCACGCTTTTACCTCACGCGCTTTTCGCAGCGGAGGGTAAACGCGGTCGTGGAGATGGCGTTCGTACTCTACCGGTGTCTTTTGCCGGCACCTGTCTGGCTGGAGTTTTACGGCAAGGACAGCGACTACTTCGCGGGGATTTATCTCGTCCTCAAGGTGATGTGATAATGTAAACCTCCCCCCCCCCACCCCCCCCCCCTCCCCCCTTTTTTTTCCCCCCCCCTTCCCCCCCCTTTCCCCCTTTTTTTTTTTTAAACCACATTTTCTTCCTTCTTTTTTCCCTTTTCCCCCACCCCCTTTTCCCACCCCCAAAAAGAACAAAAAAAAAAAACCCCCTTGCCAAGGGGAAACCCAAAAAACCCTTTCGGGGGGGGGTTGGGCCTCGCGAAGGGAAACCTA